GTTTTATTTCATGGGGACATTTATTTATTTGATGGGATATTTATTAATACTTTATTAATTACATTATTTATTTTATTTTGAATAAAACGACTCTCCAAATAATTTGATTGTAATTTGCCTGAAGATGCTTTATTTTATAATATAAAACAGAAACAAATAATGTTTAATTCTCAAGACCAGAATATAAACTTAAATTTAAGGTCTTTGCAATAAAAATCTTCATCCATTGTTTTAATTTTCATGTAGCTTTAATTTCCTCTAACACTTGTAAAAATGTTTTTGTTTTAAATATGAATGTAAATAAATAAATCAACAGGAAGTTGCTGCAGAAATGATCGTCTCTTTCAGCTGAACCCTGTAAAACTAACATTTATTTATTTATTTATTTATTTTGTCTTTTCAGCTGACTACGAGTCCATCTCCCTTCATGGAGACATGGACTCCATCTCCTTCCACCAGCTGTCTCTCAACAGCAGCCAGTCGGACTTCGACAGGTCCTCCACCATCCCCAGGAACTCTGACTTCAAAATCCAGTTCCGGGAGTTCGCTCARTCCAAACGCCCCGCCTCCACCGTCAGCCTATTGGCCGAGCCGGAGCTGAGCGGCGTCTCGGGCTGTCAGCCGCCCTCCCACACGGCGACCATCCGGCGCAAACCGTCCACCAAGCCGGTGTACCGCCGCAGCACCGTCAGCTGCGGGGTCGCCATCCCCATCGGCACRCCGCAGGTCCCCCTCAAGGCCCTGAGAGGAAGCAGCGGCAGCGACGAGAACGTTTTCAAAGCKCCCCCTGCTGGAGGGCTGGGCAACAGCAAGTTCTGCACGTCAACGCAGAGCCTCAGCGCTCTGCCTTCATCCTCCTCCTCCTCTTCCTCTCCGTACTACCAGTTCATCCCAGGACAGATGCCCATCCCGGTGCCGGTCCCCACGGTCCCCTGCCAGCCTCCGGAGGGTGGCAACGTCAAGCAGCAACAGCAGAGACAGCAACTGCAACAGCTGCAGCAGCAAATTGACCATCAGCAACAACACGGTCAACTGCAACAATTACAGCAGCAACAACTACAGCAGCAATACGGTCAATTGCAACAATTACAGCAGCAACAACACGGTCAACTGCAGCAGCACCATCAACAGCAACATGGTCAGCTGCAACAATTACAGCAACATGGTCAGCTGCAGCAACAGCAATTGCAGCTGCAACAATTACAGCAGCAACAATTACAGCAGCAACACGGTCAACCACAGCAACAAATGAACTATCAACAGGAGGATTGTCAAATGCAGCAACAACTACAGCAGCACCATCAACAGCAACATGGTCAGCTGCAACAATTACAGCAACAACAACTGCAGCAGCAACAATTACAGCAACAACAACTGCAGCAGCAACANGCAACAATTACAGCAACAACAACTGCAGCAGCAACAATTACAGCAACAACAACTGCAGCAGCAACACGGTCGACTGCAGCAACAACTCATCCATCAGCAGCAGCATCAACAGCTGCAGCAGCAACTACAGCAACAGTTTAAGCAGCAGCAACTAAAGCAGCAACATGGTCAACAGCAGGTCCAGCTTCAGCAACATCCTCAAGTCAACCATCATCAACATCTGCAGCAACATCTGCAGGACCAGAACCGTCCAGCAGAGCAGCTGAGTCAGCAGCAGAAGCAGAGGCTGTTCCAGCAGCAGCACCAGGACCCGCCGCAGGTCTCTGCCGGCCCACATCGGCCCTCCAGCCTGGACTGCAGCACCGACCACCAGCCCCGGGTCCTCCCCTCTTCYGGCCCGGGTCAGAACCCAGAGCCTCCGGGCCAGGAGGCCACAGGCGGAGAGAAGGACATGCTGACCCTGATCCGGAAGGTCACGTTGAGACGGACCGTCACCAACGATCGCTCCGCCCCCTTCCTGCCCGCTGCAGCCAATCACAAYTGAGCTGAGAGGAGCTGTTCACAGGCTGCAGCTCCTGGAGCAAACTAAAAACACAAATCTGATCCAAGCTTTTAACTAAATCATCGCTTTAATCTGGTTAGTTGTTTCTGTAGAGTGGATTCTTGCATGACCCGGTCTTTATTTTATTTTACTTTATTTTCCGTTTTGATCCACAGCGAGTCTTTGGTCCGGACCGGGACTCTCAGAACTCTGGACTAAAATCTGTGGATTGTAAATAACACATCCRAGGGGCGTCCCGGACTGAAAGGGTCGATGTGAGGAGAAATCATCTGGATCAAAACGATGACGTTTTTAAAAAGCAGCACGGAGGTTTCACAGGAAACGGGTTGAAAAGAGAAAACGATGCTCTGAACGTAGCCGGCTACAGCGAGCACATTTATTAACACAGGAAACAACAAATRTTTCACCTTTATTCTCCAGAAGAGAAACATTTAAACTGGAATTTTGTCAAATCTAACCAGATTAATGCAGCTAAAAAGTACTTTAGCCTTTTTTTTTT